GGGGGGGGGGGGGTGACGCGGCTGCCGCCCACTGCTCGCTCCCTGGGGGCGTCCCCCGCGCCGGCCGCCCGGCTCAAGGCAGGTCCCAGCCACCCCCGGCCCCGGCCCCCGGCCAGGCAGGCCAGGCAGGCCCGCGTCCCGGAGCCCACCGGGCGTCCGCGGGCGTGAGCCGCCGAGGGTAAACTGAGGCCAGCCTCGGACACCTCAAAAGGCGCGGAGCGGCCGCCGGGAGCCCCAGCCCCGCCGGCCCGGGCTCCGGCCGGCTCCCCGGAGGGGGCTCCCGCCTGGCCCTGCTGTCCGACCCACCTCCGGGCCTGGGATTGGCTGCGGCTGAGGTCAAGCTGCCCCGGAGGGAGGGGAAGGCCGCGGGAGAGGAAGTCATTGAGTGTAACCAGATTTGGAAGGTGTGTCAGTTCTGGGTGGGGGTGGGGAGGCTGGTCCGGGAGCCCAGCGCCCCGGGTGGGCTTTGAGGGCCAAGAGGCTCCCCCGGCCCTCGCAGCCCTGCCTTGTCAGGACCAGGGTTTCCAGCGCCCTGGCCGACTCCTCAGAGCCCTGCTAGGGTATACTGGAAGGCCCCCGCGGGAGGAGGCACCCCAGACCCTGAAGGGGAGCTGGACCCGGTGCCAGGGGCGCCTGCCTCCGCGGGCCGCCTAGCTGACGTGTGTCCACTCCCTGGCTCTCAGGGCCATCTCCGGGCCTCCGGAATTAGCAGCTGAGATCAGCCTGGGGCCCTTTGCCCTGTCCGGGCTTCTCCCAGGGCCTTACCTCTTCTAGCCCCAGTGCCACCCCCCACCCTCCACCCTCCTGCCCTGGCCTGGAAATAGCCCCGTCTCCGTGACACAGCAGATGTCTCTGAGCTTTCCAGAAGGACAAGCCTGAGGACAAGGGGTGGGGGAGGAGGCCCTGGGGGGGGGGGTGTGGTGGAGCTAGGAGAGGCAGCGTGGGGAGGTTGTGGCCTGGGTCCACCCCTCCGCCTCCTCCGCTCTGAGATCTGAAGGCGGCACTGACTGCCCCAGGTGGGGTCTCCAGGGGAAGGTCTGCGGCCTCTGGGAGACATCAGAGGAGGCGGCTCTGCCTCCCTTCCCCGCTGGCTGCGGGGGCGCTGGGCCCCTCTCCAGGCCTCATCCTTCCCCTGCGCACCTCTCCCCTCCCCCAGTGGCCGTGCCTGGCTCCAGCCCCCTTGGCTCTGCAGCCAAGGGGCCGGCTCAGAGTAGAGGGGAAGAGGTTTGGGGGCGGGAGGGAAGCTCCACGGTTCCCGCTGAGAAGGGTGATGGCGCCCTGTTTGGGCCAAGAGGCTCACCCCGTGCTGATGAGATAAGCTGTCAGCAGTTCAGCTGAGCTGGGCTTGGGCCTGAGGCGGAAGGGAAGGGGCGCAAACACTGCCTGAAATCCCTGGGAGATGGGAATGGGATGGGGGGAGGTCCCCATGCTATGGAGCAGTGGGAAGGGGCCTCAGGACTGAGTGAGCATCTGGGCAGTGCACTCAGAGGCTCCGCAAAGGAAAGTCTGGAAAAGTTGCTGACAGCTGAGGAGTTCATCTGGAAGGAGGGTTCTAGGCCTGGCTTGGGTTGAAGAGGCTGGGTGCCCTTCTTAGCCCCGTCCCTGGGTGCAACCCCCTCTCAACCCCTCCAAACAAAGAGGCCTAGGAGGCAGCTCTGCCCCACAGCTGTTCTCCAGTTGCTGTCCTTCTCCCCGGAGCCAATAGCTGAGGGAGGGGCTGGAGGGGACAGCAGCTGTCCCAGCCCCTCCCTGGCCAGCCCTGTCTCCTCCCCTCTATTCTAGGCAGGGGGTGTGGGTCACAAGCTAGTGGTCTGGCTCCTCCTATTCCTTGGGGTTGTCCCCAGTCAGGGATGCTGTGTGCAAGAAACCTGGGCTCAGCCGAGCTCCACCACCCTCTCCCCTGCCTGGCCTCCTAAGAGGGTGGAAGGAGAGGAAGGTCATGGCTCCGGGGTGGAGCCCTGGGCCTGCTACCCGCCCCCTCCTGTCCCAAGCTGGGGACCACTTGCTGTCTGGCCCAGGGCCAGTTGCTAGGGAGAACCTCTCCCCCTCAGCAAACATGAATGACCCTCCTCTCCCGCTCCACCCCCAACCCCCAACACTGCGGCTTCAAGGTCTCCGAGCCCAGGGTCTGGCTGCCGTTTGGGAGGAAGCCTCTGTGAGCCCGGCTTGGGCAGTTGTGGCAGGGTTTCCCGGGTGTTGAGAGTGTGTGAAAGGATTGTGTTTGAGAGTGGAAGCACCGGGAGAGAGACAGTGTGTCATGGGATCTGAGAGCTGCCAAGCCATTGTGCTGAGCTGAAGCCAGGGGAAGGGGCGGGCTGCCGAGCTGCTGGGGGAAGGAAGAATGAATCAGTGACAGTGGGGCCCGAGACTCGGATTCCTCTGCCCTGGGGGTAGGAGGGGGTGGCGTGGAGGACAGAGGCTCCCCTACCAAGCTCCCCAAGATCTGAGGAAAGGAGAGCAGAAAACAATGTGTGAGAGGCGCCTCCAGCCTCCCCCTCTCTGTCTCTCAGGAAACATGGGTCAACAAGACCTCCCCTCCCCCCCCCCAGCCTCCTACAAGCAGGGCTCAGAAGCTGATAGATTTCAGAGCTCCGCTATCCTATACAAAGCTGGGTTCTGAGATCTGTAGTCTACCAGATGTGTCCAGAGCATCCCTGAGAATCCAGTCCACACGTGCGATGTTTCCTGTCTCCAGTGAGAGGCCGTTGACTCTCAGCACCTGGCAACAGGAAAGACTTCCAAGTTTTAGCCGAGCGAGTGCTGTGCCCTTCCCTCCTCCTCCTCCTCCTCCCTAGACCCCCGTGTCAGAAGCAGAATGGAGGCAGGACTGAGCTGGTCCGACTCAAGGTCAACTTAAGCTTTCAGAACAGCCTCCACTGGCACTGAGACCCTATCAAGTGCCACCTCCGTTGTAAAAACATAAAATCCAGGGGAGACGGCTCGGTCAGATCCCAAATGCCATGTAAAAAGTTGGTAGTCTGGTAATCTCAGTGCTGGGAGTGGAGATAGCAGACTCCCTGGATGCCTGACCAGCAAGTCTAGCCAAATTGGTACGTTCAGTGAGAGGTCCTGTCTGAAAATGAGATGGACAGTGATGTAGGGAGACACGGACATCAGGATCTGATACACATGAAATTCAAGGGTTGGAGTGAAGGAATCTAGAGCAAAAAAAGAGACAAATTGATCAGTTAAACTCATTTGTATAAAACTGGAACATGAGAACTGCCCAGGAAGCAGATGGTTTGTTGTCTGGGAAGGCAAGAGCATGACAGACAGAGGCGAGGACCATAGAAGTATAAATATGAGAAAATTTATTTTTTATTATATTATTTCTTCTTTTATGCCAGTAGTTGTGTAGGTATGCCCTATGGCCAAAGCTTATCAGATTATAGTCTTTAATACACACAGCCTGTGTGTCAGTAAAACAGCTCCAACAAAACAAGGGGCCTAGGGACTTGGCTTAGTCGGAAGTGACATGCAGGAGACCCTGAGTTTGATCCCCAGTGCTGTATCAGCCAGATGCAGTGCTCAGAGCTGTCAGTTCTCAGGAAGGTAGAGGCCGGAGGGCCAGGGGTTCAAGGCCACAGTCCAAGCTACTTGAGACCCTGACTCTAAACAAAGCCAGCGCCTGGCCCTAAAAGGCCTGATGTCAGTAGGACACTTGCTCAGGCGGGAGGTAGAGCCCACGGCTGCTGCTGGCCTCGGGAAGGGGTATCAGAGAGCGAAGCAGCCTGTTTCTGGGTCCAGGGGAGCGGGGCAGAGGTGGAGATGGGTCCCAGAGGGAGAGGGCTGGGCAGTGCAGGTGAGGGAGGCGCCGCCACAAGGTGCCTGCTGAGCCGGCCTGTTCCCTGCGCCCCGCAGACAGCAAGGCTATCGTCGATGGGAACCTGAAGCTGATCCTGGGCCTGATCTGGACCCTGATCCTCCACTACTCCATTTCCATGCCCATGTGGGAGGATGAAGATGACGAGGACGCCCGCAAACAGACCCCCAAGCAGCGTCTGCTCGGCTGGATCCAGAACAAGGTGCCGCAGCTGCCCATCACCAACTTTAACCGCGACTGGCAGGACGGCAAGGCTCTGGGTGCCCTGGTGGACAACTGTGCCCCTGGTGAGCAGGCCAAAGCGCACACCCAGAACCCAGAGTCCTGGAGGAGAGTGGGAGGCAGTCTGTAGGTGCTGAGGCCCGTGCTTGACATGAGGCCCACCCCTGGGTCCAGGGATCAGGGTCCAGCAAGCCTGTGGGTTTTGCTGCTCTTGCAGAAATCACCGCTGGAATCTAGCTGTTTGGTTGTCGGGCTAGGAGCAAGAAAAGGTTTCAGGCCAGTCTCAAGCCTATAAAATGTTGCAGGCAAGCCTAGAAGCCCAGAGAGGGCAGTGATTGTCCAGGAGCACATTCCACAAGTGACCCCTGTTTTGTTACCTGGACACCATTCTTTTACTCCAGCAGAAAGGAAGGAAACAGGTGGAACTTACAGCAAGAAATCCCGAAACTACTCCTTGAATGGCCCTTGGAATGGCTTTGACAAAGGGCTGGGGCCCAGGGTGGTGTCATTGTGTTGTCCAGTGGCAGGTGGTCCTGGCCTGCCCTTCTGGGTGAGGACCCAGCAGATCAGGGCCCTTAAAGGACTGAACAACACAGGCCAGAGTCACACCCAACGACCAACCCCTTCCTGACTGTCTTCTGCTATGGGGGCAGTTGGCATGAGGAGCTTCAGCCCCTTGGGGAACCCTCCCCCGCCCTGGGGTCAGCTGCGGAGCAGGGAGGGGAGGCGCTCGGCCTGGGAAGCATTCCCAGCTGCTGAGCCACTGCCCAAAGCTGCTGTGGCTGCCAGAAGTGAGCTCAGCTGTTCCAGCCAGTCACGGACTGCAGCTGTGAGCAGCCCCCTCCTCACCGGCCCCCCTCCTCGCCGGCCCCCCTCCTCGCCGGCGCCCCTCCTCACCAGTGCCCCCCTCCTCACCGGCGCCCCCTCCCCACCAGCATCCACCCTTCCATCTGTCTTGAACCATGCTGCCCCCCACCCTACAAGCAGCCCTTCGCAGGGTGATCTGACCTTCTGTCGGTATTTCCCTGCTGGGAGGCTGGGCTCCTGCAGCTGCCTCGATGCCTCGGTTTCCCCAACAGGCAGTTAAGGAAGAGAGAGTTATCCCGAAGGCTAGTGTGGGATAGCTTAGAGAGGCGGGCGCCTGTGGAGGGGGCCGCCACTCTGTGGGAGACAGGGCCCTCACCTTGGGTGGCGTTTGGTGCTGGGGTCTCTGCTCTATCTTGGGTTAAGAAGGAAGCCGGCTGGCAGGGCTGGAGCCAGGCTGCATCGTTGGGGAGAGAAAGGGGTCCCTGACATGGTGACTGGCAGCTGGGTCGGGGCACGGTGGGACCTGTGCACGGCTCTCTGGCTGGGGAAGGGCCTAGAGCTGCCCAGAAAGGACGTGAAGCCATGGGCCTCTGGGATGATTGGCTGGGAGCTCTGTGCGCAGTCCGTGGCCTACCCGCCGTGTTCTTCCTCCGCCTCCCCAGGTCTCTGCCCTGACTGGGAAGCCTGGGACCCCAACCAGCCCGTGCAGAACGCCAGAGAGGCCATGCAGCAGGCAGATGACTGGCTCGGAGTGCCCCAGGTACACGGGCGATGGCGTGGTGGGGCGTGGCGGGGAGGTCGAGGGCCGCAAGGCTTCCTGGCCAGGCCTCAGCACGGGGCACCGTCATTTCTTCCTACGGCAGGTGATCGCCCCTGAAGAAATCGTGGACCCCAACGTGGATGAGCATTCTGTCATGACTTACCTGTCACAGTTCCCCAAGGCCAAGCTCAAACCTGGTGCCCCCGTCCGCTCGAAGCAGTTGAACCCCAAGAAAGCCATCGCCTACGGACCCGGTATGTGCGAATGGATGCTCATGGCCTTCCCTGGGCTCCGGGCGGTGGCAGCCCCGGGCAGTGGCAGCTTGTGAGGGAGCTGAGGGAGCTGAGGGAGCTGGGCTTGGCTTCCACCTGCAGGCATCGAGCCCCAGGGCAACACGGTGCTGGAGCCTGCCCGCTTCACCGTGCAGACCGTGGACGCCGGCGTGGGTGAGGTGCTGGTCTACATCGAGGACCCCGAGGGCCACACGGAGGAGGTACAGCAGGGCGCTGGGTGGAGGGATCAGCGGGGATTGGAACCGGAGACTCCGTAGGAGCCAGTGGCCCTGGGATTACAGGATCGATAGCGTTTTCAGTCTGTCTCCTCCCCACAGGCCAAGGTGTTGCCCAACAATGACAAGGACCGCACCTACGCCGTCTCCTACGTGCCCAAGGTTGCTGGGCTACACAAGGTAGCCCCCGAGTCCCTGCCCCCCGGCCCTCCCCCGCCGCCACGGCCGCCTCTCCCTCCTCTCCCTCACGCTGCCTCTGCGCCCCCTCAGAACTAGGCTCCCAGAAGCTGACCTTTGCCCCCCCCCCGCCCCAGGTGACCGTGCTCTTTGCTGGCCAGAACATTGAGCGTAGCCCCTTCGAGGTGAACGTGGGCATGGCGCTCGGGGATGCCAGCAAGGTGTCGGCCCGCGGCCCCGGCCTGGAGCCTGTGGGGAACGTGGCCAACAAGCCCACCTACTTTGACATCTACACCGCAGGTGAGGGGCGGCCCGTGCCTGGCCTGGGCCTGCCGGGCGGGACGGGGGTCCTGGGCAGGGCCGGGCGGCCTCCGGCTGGGGGAGCCTGAGGACGTGTTCTCTGCAGGGGCTGGCACGGGCGACGTTGCCGTGGTGATCGTGGACCCTCAGGGGCGGCGGGACACAGTGGAGGTGGCCCTGGAGGACAAGGGCGACAACACGTTCCGCTGCACGTACAGGCCCGTGACCGAGGGGCCGCACACGGTGCACGTGGCCTTCGCCGGCACGCCCATCACCCGAAGCCCCTTCCCTGTCCACGTGGCGGAAGGTGAGGGCGCCTCAGCTCACCCCCCGAGGACGGTCAGAGGACACAAGGGAAGAGAGCAGAGTGGGGGCCGCGCGGAGGGGCTGGAGGAGGGGTGCACCGGCGGGCCCACGGGCACAGTCTCGAGGTTCGGGGCCCCGGCCGGCGAGCCTCCCCAACCGGTTCTCTCCCTGTGCTCAGTGCCCTTGCTGCCGCCCACCCCCTCTGTACCCATCGTCCACCAGGCCAGGAGAGTGGCGCCACGTTAGTACTCGCCAGCGGAGGTGGGGCCAGGCGTGGCTGGAGCTGTGCTTGTGGCATGCCCATGTGGTCCGGACGGCTCCCCCTCCGTGGCGTGCTGGGACGGGCTGGAGTTCCAGGCCTGTGTGTTTTCTGGCAGGGCTAGGTTTGTTTTGCTGTTTGCCTGGTGGCTTCTCTCGTAAACTTTAGAGTCTGCCCCCCGCCGCCCCGTCTGTCAGTGTCCCGTGCCTGGCCCAGCCGCTGAGCCACCGCCTGTGTTGCGTGGCAGAGTCTGAGTTGTGTGGCACTAGCTGTGTTCTCTGGAAGGCCGAGACTGTGCCACTGTCAGTACTGGGGTGCCCCCGGAGCCCCCTGCCGTTTTCTGTAGTGTGCCAGGCCGGTTTCCATGCATTGCCCACGCGGTTTGGAAGGCTTAGTGTTACACAGAACTCGGCCTGTTCCATGGCGGTGATGGATGTTTGTGGCATGCTTGTGAGGCAGCTCTGGTAGTCCTGAGAAGGCCCAGGGCCGTGGTGGAGAGCCTTAAGCTCGGATAAAGAGCCGTTCCTGTCTCTTAGCACACTTGTTATTGAATCTGCCATGTCTTTGCCTCAAGCGGCTCTGAGGAGAGGCGCTGGCCTGGGCCTACAGCCAGCTCTCTGCCCAGTGCCAAGCACTGCTCCCAGCAGTCCCAGATCTGTGAGGGACACAGCAAGCATGGGGCCTGGTTGCACGAGGCCATGCCCAGTGCCTGGGAGGGGTCAGGGGGTTCGTGCACAGGCAGCTGGGCAGTGCCCAGGAGCTCGGCCTCTGTCCAGGGCCCGTCAGCACCAATGCCGCTGTCTCCCTCTCCGCAGCCTGCAATCCCAACGGCTGCCGTGCCGCTGGGCGAGGCCTGCAGCCCAAAGGTGTGCGCGTCAAAGAGGTGGCCGACTTCAAGGTGTTCACCAAGGGCGCTGGCAGCGGGGAGCTCAAGGTCACGGTCAAGGGTCCAAGTGAGTGCCGGGGCCCAGGGCTGGGGACAGTGACAACCAGGACGCACAGCCCCACCCCCAGATTCCAGAGCGGCCAGAGGCCCATGGACTCTCCTTCCAGCCTCAGCGTCCCAGTCTGAAAACTGGTGAAAACTGGAGTTAGTTCTCCCTCCCCCGTGTGCCACACTGAGCTCCGTGCTCAGGAGGGACACGAGGTCCACCATAAGCTTAGCCCCACCCACCAGGAGCACCTCCCTCAGAGGGGCCCAGGTGCCCAGGATCCCCTGAGGGCACCAAGAACCTGGGCCGCCCAGAGCTGCGACCTGTGCCCCTGACTCTCTTCCTCAGAGGGCACGGAGGAGCTGGTGAAAGTCCGAGAGGCCGGGGACGGCGTGTTCGAGTGCGAGTACTACCCCGTGGTCCCCGGGAAGTACGTGGTGGCCATCACGTGGGGTGGCTACGCCATTCCCCGCAGGTGAGCGCGCCTGCTCCGTGCCTGGCGTCCTGCCTGGGTCCCCTGCCTGAGAGGGAGCTGCCCCAGCACGAGGGAGGGGAGCCGCGGTGCCTCTGGCAGGGCTCTTCCACGGATGCCAACTCCTTCCTTCTCCTAGTCCATTCGAGGTCCAAGTGAGCCCGGAGGCCGGCGCCCAGAAGGTGCGGGCATGGGGTCCTGGCCTGGAGACTGGCCAGGTGGGCAAGTCCGCGGACTTTGTCGTGGAAGCCGTCGGCACAGAAGTGGGGACGCTGGGTGAGTGTCCCAGTGGCGTAAGGGTTGTGACCAAGGCCTGATGCCGAGGAGCGTGGGGACAGTGAAGACGCCGAAGGGCGTCCGGTTAAACAGGAGTGGGGCCCCGGGGGTGACTGGGTGGGAGCAGCAGGCTCGGGCCTGGCCTCTCTGAGCCTGCCACCCCTCCAGGCTTCTCCATCGAGGGGCCCTCGCAAGCCAAGATAGAGTGTGATGACAAGGGGGACGGCTCCTGCGACGTGCGGTACTGGCCCACGGAGCCCGGGGAGTACGCCGTTCACGTCATCTGTGACGACGAGGACATCCGGGACTCGCCGTTCATCGCGCACATCCAGCCGGCCCCGCCCGACTGCTTCCCGGACAAGGTGGGCGCCAGCTGCCCCGCTCGCCCTCGCCCGGCGGGCGCCCCTGCTGCCCTCCCGTCCCCAACACAGCCCTCCTCGCTCGCCCCGAACAGGTGAGGGCCTTCGGACCCGGCCTGGAGCCCGCCGGCTGCATCGTGGACAGGCCTGCCGAGTTCACCATCGACGCCCGCGCCGCCGGCAAGGGAGACCTGAAGCTCTACGCGCAGGTGGGACAGCCGCCTCCACCGTGCCGCCCGCCGGGGGGTGGGGGCAGCCTCTGGGAGGGAGGCCGACAGTTCCTGTGGGAGATGGAAGCCGTGCTTTCTTACAGATGATAATCTTAGAACGCATTAGCCCAAGTTCCCCTCTGAGTCTAGAGTTCGAGGTATGGGACGGTGGCCTCGAGCCGTTTACAAGCTGGTGTCCACCGCCCCCTAAAGGTCGTCAGGCTCCAAGGAGACAGTCGTTCTCGTAAAAGCTTGTTAATTTTAGGAACATGAGATTAGCGCAGAAGCTAAAGATAAGCGGGAAGCACGCCTTACAGGTGGCCTCGTGCCAAGGCCTGGCTCCGGGGTAGGCAGTGGCCACCAGAGCCCGGGCACCAGGCCTGGAGTGGGGGTGTGCAGGGCCGGCCGGATCCAGCAGGGGGCGCGCCTCTGCCCCCGTGAACGTGCTCGGCTGCTGCCCACAGGATGCGGACGGCTGCCCCATCGACGTCAAGGTGGTCCCCAACGGCGACGGCACCTTCCGCTGCTCCTACGTGCCTACCAAGCCCATTAAGCACACCATCATCATCTCCTGGGGAGGCGTGAACGTGCCCAAGAGCCCCTTCCGGGTAAGTCTGCCCCCCCCCTCACTACCGGGCGTCCCAAGGCTGCGCCCTTCCCCGCCCGCGGCCCCCGGGAAGCGGCTGACTGGTCAAGCTGGGGGCGGGGGCTTGCCGGGAAAGCTTCGCCTCGAGCAAGGCTCACTCCCTGAGCACGAACCCCTGCCCGCAGGTGAACGTGGGAGAAGGCAGCCATCCCGAGCGGGTAAAGGTGTACGGCCCCGGAGTGGAGAAGACGGGCCTGAAGGCCAACGAGCCCACCTACTTCACGGTGGACTGCAGTGAGGCCGGCCAAGGTGCGCCACTCCCCGGGGGCGTGTTCGGGGCGGGGCCACCGGGACCAGTTGCCTGGGCACAGTGCCCGGACTTTCTAAGAAGCTCTCCAGGCTCACTCACGGCTCCCCGCCCACCTCAGGTGACGTGAGCATTGGCATCAAGTGCGCGCCTGGCGTGGTGGGGCCTGTGGAAGCCGACATCGACTTCGACATCATCAAGAACGACAACGACACCTTCACGGTCAAGTACACCCCCCCGGGGGCCGGCCACTATACCATCATGGTGCTGTTTGCCAACCAGGTACTGCAGCGGGCGGCAGCCACGGGCTCACATGCCAGAGGGCTGGGAAGGCAGGCGGTTGGCGGCTCCACCGAGGCTGTGGAGTGAGTCCCCCGAGCGCGCCCCAGCCAGCGGGCGGCGTCTTTAGCGCTGTCCTTGCCCTCGCCGGGTCCAGGGCCGGCACCTAGCGCGGTGCTGTGCCCTGGGAAGCCTGACCAAGCCTGTTCCGCATCCAGGAGATCCCCGCCAGTCCCTTCCACATCAAGGTGGACCCGTCCCACGACGCCAGCAAGGTCAAAGCCGAGGGCCCCGGGCTGAGCCGCACAGGTGGGCGCCTGGGCCGGGGCGGGCCGCTTGGAGCCGGGGCTGCCGGGCCCTCGCTCCAGGCCCTCACGCCGTCTCCTGGGCCTCCAGGTGTGGAGGTCGGAAAGCCCACTCACTTCACCGTGCTGACCAAGGGGGCCGGCAAGGCCAGGCTGGACGTGCAGTTCGCGGGGGCGGCCAAGGGCGAGGCCGTGCGCGACTTCGAGATCATCGACAACCACGACTACTCCTACACGGTCAAGTACACCGCCGTCCAGCAGGTGCGCCTCGCCCCTCCCCCTGCCGCCAGGGGGCCCGGGGAGCCCCCGCTGCTCCCGCTGCCCCGTGTCCGTCCTAGATCGCTGGGCTGTGGGTCAAAGAGTCGCCCTGACCCGACTCTGTCTTCTTCCCAACAGGGCAACATGGCAGTAACGGTGACCTACGGGGGGGACCCCGTGCCCAAAAGCCCCTTTGTGGTGAATGTGGCCCCCCCGCTGGACCTCAGCAAAGTCAAAGTCCAAGGCCTGAACAGCAGTACGTGGGGAGCCAGCCGAGGGCCGGGGGGGGGGCGGGGAGAGGGGTCTGCTCACGGCCCCGTGCCCCACAGAGGTCGCCGTGGGGCAGGAGCAGGCCTTCTCCGTGAACACCAGAGGGGCCGGCGGCCAGGGCCAGCTGGATGTGCGGATGACCTCGCCCTCCCGGCGCCCCATCCCCTGCAAGCTGGAGCCCGGGGGCGGGGCGGAGGCCCAGGCTGTGCGCTACATGCCCCCGGAAGAGGGCCCGTACAAGGTGGACATCGCCTACGACGGCCACCCCGTGCCTGGGAGCCCCTTTGCTGTGGAAGCGGTTCTGCCCCCGGACCCCTCCAAGGTAAAGACTCGAGGCTGCAGGCATCAGGAGTTGGGGGCTGGCAGCGAAGGCAGAGGCCGGAAGGCCCTGGGGCCTGGAGGGTGCACGCGGGGTCGTCCCGTCCTTTGCGCCGCCTGGCTGCTGGGAGCCCGGCCTTGGGGCCTGGCCTACGTCCCTCTGTCGCTTCACCTCTGTGCCGCGTGCTAGAATTGGGAGGACTGCGGCGGGGCGGCTCGAGGGGCGCGGCGAGGCCGGAGGGTGGGGCAGCCAGGCTCGGAGGGCGAGCGTGTGTGTTCACCTGCCAGGTCTGTGCCTACGGCCCGGGGCTCAAGGGCGGCCTCGTGGGCACTCCGGCTCCGTTCTCCATCGACACCAAAGGCGCCGGCACGGGAGGCCTGGGGCTGACGGTCGAGGGCCCCTGCGAAGCCAAGATCGAGTGCCAGGACAACGGCGACGGCTCGTGTGCCGTCAGCTACCTGCCCACCGAGCCAGGCGAGTACACCATCAACATCCTCTTCGCCGAGGCCCACATCCCCGGCTCGCCCTTCAAGGCCGCCATCCGGCCCGTGTTCGACCCGAGCAAGGTGAGGGCCAGCGGGCCCGGCCTGGAGCGCGGCAAGGCCGGGGAGGCGGCCACATTCACCGTGGACTGCTCGGAGGCGGGCGAGGCCGAGCTGACCATCGAGATCCTGTCGGACGCCGGCGTCAAGGCCGAGGTGCTGATCCAGAACAACGCGGACGGCACCTACACCATCAGCTACAGCCCGGCCTTCCCCGGCGCCTACACCATCACCATCAAGTACGGCGGCCACCCCATCCCCAAGTTCCCCACCCGCGTCCACGTGCAGCCTGCGGTGGACACCAGCGGCGTCAGGGTGTCAGGGCCGGGCGTGGAGCCACACGGTAAGACGGGCGCCCGTCGTCACTGGGCGGGGCTGGGGGAGGGGAGGCCTCGGGCTCAGCCCCCGGAGAAGGAGGAGGGGTCCGACAGGGCTTGCCGATTGGTCTGTGACAAAGTGGATCCTTTGCTGGGGAGACCTTTGGACCAGTCGGGTGAAGGCACCCAGACCCAGCAAAGTGAAGGAGGGATGCTGCGCCTCGGGGCGCGGCGAATGAGGATAGCTAACGGGAACGGGTGCTGGCAAGATAGGCGGGCTCAGCGGGAGCAAGCCGGCACAGTTCTCAGCCCGGCAGGGCGCCGTCCGTAGGAGGGCGCCACGGCAGGAGTCGAGGGGTGCAGGGGCGGCTCGGCCTCCCTGAGGGGCCGTCGTGGGCCGAGGACGGGCCAGCATGGAGGCTGAGCTCGGCTCCCTGGGCCTAGGCGTCCTGAGGGAGGTGACCACCGAGTTCACGGTGGACGCGAGGTCCCTGACGGCCACGGGCGGAAACCACGTGACAGCTCGTGTGCTCAACCCCTCGGGCGCCAAGACGGACACCTACGTGACGGACAACGGGGACGGCACGTACCGTGTGCAATACACTGCCTACGAAGAGGGTAAGGGCCGAGGGCCGGGTGCCGGCGTGCCGGGGGCGGGGGGTGGGGGCGCTGCTCGCCGTGACTCTGCGGGGCCTCTTCCAGGTGTGCACCTGGTGGAGGTGGTCTATGACGACGTGGCTGTGCCCAAGAGCCCCTTCCGAGTGGCTGTGACCGAGGGCTGCGACCCCACCCGGGTCCGGGCCTTTGGGCCAGGCCTGGAGAGTGGCTTGGTCAACAAGGCCAACCGCTTCACTGTGGAGACCAGGTAGTCATTCCGCCTAACCCTGACCCGGGGTCCTGTTCACCGTGGGCTCTGCTGTTCGCCCTTCCCTTGTCCCAGCCGTCACCCGGCTTCGTCCTGTTGCAGAGGTGACCGAAGCTCATTCCTCTGCCTGCATTCCCAAGTAGCCCGTTACAGCCTGCCCTCCCAGCACCGGCCCCCAGCAGCCCACCCTGTGTTTCCTGTTCTGTCCCTAATGCCTTTCAGACCCTTTTCTGGCTCTAGAACGGCTTTCAGCAGTGTCCTTTTATAGGGGTGCTGGCACGGGAGGCCTGGGGCTGGCCATTGAGGGCCCCTCCGAAGCTAAGATGTCCTGCAAGGACAACAAGGACGGCAGCTGCACCGTGGAGTACGTCCCCTTCAGCCCCGGAGATTACGACGTCAACATCACCTTTGGGGGACAGCCTATCCCAGGTGGGCAGGGGGGTGGGGCGGGCTCTGGGGAGAGGACGCCAGGACGCTGAGGTCAGGAGGAGAACAGCAGCAGGAGATCTGCAGAGGGCAGGGTGCCATGGGTGTGCTAACCCCCAGGCCATGCCCAGAGGCCCTGCACCAGGTCCGCTGGCTGGACTCGCTGTCCTGCAGCCCAGCCGCTTGGGCGTGCCGTGGCTTCTGTTATTGTAGGAACTGGGTCTGCTGAAACGAGACATCTTCTCCTCACTCAGTTCTGCAGACCCTCCTCATAGTTTAGCCACGCTCTCAGAAGACACAAGCCATTTTAGCATTTTACTGATTTAGGGGCCCTCTTCCCAGCCTGGTTGCATGTGGTTGAGGTTTGCCTGGCCTCGTTCCGTAGTCCTCAGCGAGCTTCCAAACCGCGTTCCCACACCGGCCTGTCTCGGTGGGCCCTCAGCAACAGGGAGGCCACCCTGCGTAGACCCTCAGCACGGGAAGGCGGCCTGGCCAGGCCGCGGGTAGAGGCCCTCTGTCGTCCCCCCCCCCCCCCCCCCCCCGTGTGCTCGTATCCTCCCAGGAAGCCCGTTCAGAGTTCCTGTGAAGGACGTGGTGGACCCTGGCAAGGTGAAGTGCTCAGGGCCAGGGCTGGGGACCGGCGTCAGGGCTCGGGTTCCGCAGACCTTCACAGTGGACTGCAGCCAGGCTGGCCGCGCCCCGCTGCAGGTGGCCGTGCTGGGCCCCACAGGTACGGCCTGTGGGGAGAGAGGGGACGGTGCCGAGGTTCCGGGGGCCCTGCTGACACCCCGCCCTCGCCCAGGTGTGGCCGAGCCCGTGGAGGTGCGCGACAATGGCGACGGGACCCACACTGCCCACTACACGCCGGCCACTGATGGCCCCTACACGGTAGCTGTCAAGTACGCCGACCAGGAGGTGCCCCGCAGGTGAGGCCCAGCCTCGGGCAGTCCATGCGGGCCCTGCAGAGCTTCCCCTGCAGAGTCCCCGTTCTCTGTGGAGCCCTCCTTCCTGGGGCTGCCCCCGTATGCCCACTCCGGGGTTCTCTGCCCTGACGGTCTTTTCAAACTCGAGCATCAAATCGGCACGGAGGAAAGGAGCCTGGAGAGCCCGAGGGCTCTCCTCTTAAGGAGTGCAGCTCCCTCCGGAGGAGGGCGCTGTGTGCAGCGGGTGCTTCCCCGAGACTCAGGGTGCCACCTGGCCTGGGACCCCGCCTCGTGCTGCTGCACGGTCCTTCCTCCTGCCCGCGCGTGCGGACGCTCCCAGACTCCAGCTCCCCCACTCCAGCTCCCCCACAGCCACCCTTCCTTCTGTCTCTCAAGCCCTTTCAAGATCAAAGTGCTTCCAGCCCACGACGCCAGCAAGGTGCGGGCTAGCGGCCCTGGCCTCAGCGCCTCTGGCGTCCCTGCCAGCCTGCCCGTGGAGTTCACCATCGATGCCCGGGATGCTGGCGAGGGCCTGCTGACCGTCCAGATCCTGGTGAGTCCAGGCGCAGCCCCTTCCCGGCTGGGCTCTACGGGCGCAGGCAGACCTGACCTTTCCCTTCTTCCAGGACCCTGAGGGAAAACCCAAGAAGGCCAACATCCGAGACAATGGGGACGGCACGTACACCGTGTCCTACCTGCCGGACATGAGCGGCCGGTACACCATCACCATCAAGTATGGCGGCGACGAGATCCCGTACTCGCCCTTCCGCATCCATGCCCTGCCTACAGGGGACGCCAGCAAGTGCCTGGTCACAGGTGAGCCTCTGCTCTGCGCCCTCCCCACCCCACGCCCAGCCCTGGGGCAGTGCTGGCAAAGAGCCTGCCGGCTCGCCCAGCACAGCCCACCCTCACGGCCTACCTTTCTTGTCTGTTTCCAGTGTCCATCGGAGGCCACGGGCTGGGTGAGTCACCTTTTCCTTTCCTTGCTAGGGGCTGGCGGCCGTGGGAACAGCTGGCCAGGGCCTCCACAGGGGGAGCTAGCCAGGGCCTCTACAGCCGCTGATTTGACTTTTTCTTGCGGTAGGTGCCTGCCTGGGTCCCAGAATCCAGATTGGAGAGGAGACTGTGATTACAGTGGATGCCAAGGCAGCGGGCAAGGGGAAGGTGACCTGCACGGTGTCCACGCCAGATGGGGCCGAGCTTGACGTGGATGTGGTGGAGAACCACGATGGCACCTTTGATATCTACTACACAGCACCCGAGCCCGGCAAATACGTCATCACCATCCGCTTCGGGGGCGAGCACATCCCCAACAGCCCCTTCCACGTGCTGGTGAGCTCATGGCCATGGTGGGGCTGGAGGACAGGGGCGGGAGCACACCTCTCAGTAGCTGCAGGGGATCCTAGCTGTCCTCAAGGACTCAGAGAACTTGTCCCCATGTTTGATGAATGGATCCAGAGTACTCTAGAGCTGACCCTTTGTAGTCCCCGCAACCTGCCAAAGTGTGGGGAGGTGGCACGGCTCCTCAGAGGCGCCAGCCCTCTCTGGAAGAGCTCGCTGTGCTCTTCTCTGATCCTCGGGCCGGTGTCCACAGAGGTGGCCCCGCAGGACAAGGCTAGAACCCCCGAGACACCCACCCAGGACTTTAGTCCCGGGCCGTTCCGAGTTAGCTCCGGGAGCTGGGTCCCAGCCTTGTGTGCCCTGTGCCTCGCTCCCCAGGCATGTGACCCCCTGCCGCGTGTGGAGGAGTCTGCGGAAGTGCTGCCGCTGCACCAGCCCTATGCCCCTCGTCGGCCTGGCACCTGCCCCACACGCTGGGTACTAGAGCTTCCCATGACAGGCCTCGACACCCTCCTCCTCCCCACCTCTTCATTCTCCACTTCTGTTCTGCAGGCTTGGGCCACGGTTGGGCCTCTTGGGGAACGGGCGTTAGGATGGGCAGAGGGAGCTCGGATCCGGGTACAGCATGCCTTCTTTTGCAGCTCACGCACCTCCGCTCCACTCGGGTTTCACCTTAACCGTCTTGTTCTTTCCTCATTCTGACTTCAGTCACGAGGCAGGCCACCCTCCCGAGCCTTGCTCACCCATGCCCCTTCCTCTCACCCACTGCAGGCCACAGAGGAGCCCGTGCTGCCCGTGGAACCGCTGGAGTCTATGCTGAGGCCCTTCAACTTGGTCATCCCCTTCACAGTGCAGAAAGGGGAGCTCACAGGTAACGGGAAGCAGAGCCACACGGGAGCAGGCCTGGGACAGCCAGGGCTCGTGGTGGGAGAAGCCAGAGTCCCATGAGTGTGTCTGCCTTTCAGGGGAGGTCCGGATGCCCTCTGGGAAAACAGCACGCCCCAACATCACTGACAACAAGGACGGCACCATCACAGTGAGATACGCGCCGACAGAGAAGGGCCTGCACCAGATGGGCATCAAGTACGATGGCAACCATATCCCTGGTGAGTCGGGGCTGAGGCCATGGCAGGAGGAGCTGACGCCATGCTGGGCCTGCCCTCCTCCTCGAAATAAATGCAGAAGCGCCTGCCGCGCGCACAGGCACGGAGGAGGTTCGCGGGGGCGGGGGGGGGCGCTTCCAAGAGCCAGGTCCCTAAGGCAGAGCCACAGGGCTGGGCGCGGAGGCTGCTGAGGCTGCGGGGCCGGGAAGGCCGGCCCTGGGCTGACCCAGCCGCCCTCACCAGGGAGCCCCCTGCAGTTCTATGTGGACGCCATCAACAGCCGCCAGGTCAGCGCCTACGGACCAGGCCTGAGCCACGGCATGGTCAACAAGCCCGCCACCTTCACGATTGTCACCAAGGATGCTGGGGAAGGTGAGGAGAGCCGCCGGGCTCTGAGGGGTCTGCGGGCGCGCCCACGGGGCCGACCTTCTGAGCTCCGCCCGCTCGCACCGACAGGGGGGCTGTCGCTGGCTGTGGAGGGCCCGTCCAAGGCCGAGATCACGTGCAAGGACAACAAGGACGGCACGTGCACCGTGTCCTACCTGCCCACGGCCCCCGGCGACTACAGCATCATTGTGCGCTTTGACGACAAGCACATCCCAGGGAGCCCCTTCACGGCCAAGATCACAGGTGACGTGGGCGCTCGCACCCCCGCCACGCACGTGCTCAGGCCGGTCACGTGGGACAGCGGGCAGAGGCGGCTAGGCAGGAGGGAGACCTCCTGAGGCAGATGTAAGGTGCTGCTCTCCACAACAGGCGAGGACTGTCCCTCCACCTCATGCTGTAAAAGACGTGACCATCTGTGTCAGCTCCAGGCCAACCCAGTCCACACAGCGAGCCCCAGGACAGCCGAGACTCCATAGAGAGACCATGTCTCAAAGTACAAAAGAAAGAAAGAAAAAGAGATCACTATTTTTGTTTCCAAGTTATTCTTGAAAAGGTAGGGTGTGATCCCAGCACTCAGGAGGCAGAGGCAGGCGGATCTCTGTGAGTTCGAGGCCAGCCTGGTCTACAGAGTGAGTCCAGGACAGCCAAGGCTACACAGAGAAACCCTGTCTCAAAAAAACAAAGCAACAACAAAGGTAGGGGACAAACACAAACAAAGGTAGGGGTTATTAACAATCTTTTGATACCATGAAAAGGCCCAGAGACAGATGAGCTGTGTGACAAGAGCCAAATAGAGACTCTGGCTGGTGCCTGGTCCTGTCACACAGAGACTCAGGATTAAACACGGAAAGGTTCGAGGAGGGACGCAGGCCTTGCGGGACAGACAGGCGCAGGGAGTGGGCTGTGGCCCCCTGAGTCGCTCGTCCTGACCCGTCCCCTCTGTCCCACAGGCGACGACTCGATGAGAACATCCCAGCTTAACGTGGGCACCTCCACGGACGTGTCACTGAAGATCACGGAGAGCGACCTCAGCCAGCTGACTGCCAGCATCCGGGCCCCTTCGGGCAACGAGGAGCCGTGCCTGCTGAAGCGCCTGCCCAACAGACACATCGGTGAGCGCCACTTCTCTCTGGGCCGGGGGCGGCGGGGGGGGCGGGGGTGGGGGGGGGCCCTGGGAGCCCCTGCCAACTGTCGTCTCTCCGCAGGGATCTCCTTCACCCCCAAGGAGGTCGGGGAGCACGTGGTTAGCGTCCGCAAGAGCGGCAAACATGTCACCAACAGTCCCTTCAAGATTCTGGTGGGGCCGTCGGAGATCGGCGACGCCGGCAAGGTCCGAGTGTGGGGCAAGGGCCTCTCGGAGGGCCACACCTTCCAGGTGGCCGAGTTCATCGTGGACACTCGCAACGCAGGTGCTTCTCCCCCCGGGATGCCCGCCTAGGGCGCCCCACAGATCCTCACGCCTGCCCAGGCCCTCCACTGGGCTTGTTGGAGCCGCTTCGGGAAAGCGGGGGCCCTGGCCAGCTACCCCAGCTAAGAGACCGCCCGGCTCTCCTCGGTCCCCGTCGGGGGGTGGGGGAGCGTTTTCCTGAGTGGGCACCGTTGTCCTTTGACGTGTGTCCTGGGCGGAGTCTTCTCTGCGGACAGGAGGGCCCCAGGGTATGGGTGCCCTGGGAGACATCTTCCCTCCCTTCCTCCCCTTAGGCTACGGGGGCCTGGGGCTGAGCATCGAAGGGCCCAGCAAGGTGGACATTAACTGCGAGGACATGGAGGACGGCACGTGCAAAGTCACCTACTGCCCGACCGAGCCTGGCACCTACATCATCAACATCAAGTTCGCGGACAAGCACGTGCCAGGTAAGGGCGTGGGCTGGGCTGGGCTGGGCGGGCACGGCCTGGCGGGCAGCCCCACGCTCCTGACGCCCCCTCTGGCTTCCAGGGAGCCCCTTCACCGTCAAGGTGACCGGCGAGGGGCGCATGAAGGAGAGCATCACCCGGCGCAGGCAGGCGCCTTCCATCGCGACCATCGGCAGCACCTGCGACCTCAACCTCAAGATCCCAGGTAGAGCCGCCCGCCGAGGCGGGGAAGGGCCGGGTGGCGCGAGGGGCGCAGGCATCCTCCCCCGGGGCGCGGGCACCCGCCCGCCCCTCTCCTCACCGCCCCCACCCCCCTCCGTAGGAAACTGGTTCCAGATGGTGTCGGCGCAGGAGCGCCTGACGCGCACCTTCACGCGGAGCAGCCACACGTACACGCGCACGGAGAGGACGGAGATCAGCAAGACCCGGGGCGGGGAGACCAAGCGCGAGGTGCGGGTGGAGGAGTCCACGCAGGTCGGCGGGGACCCCTTCCCTGCCGTCTTCGGGGACTTCCTGGGCCGCGAGCGCCTCGGCTCCTTCGGCAGCATGGCCCGGCAGGAAGGTGAGCGGAGCGCGGCCTGGGACCCTCCCCACAGCCTCGCCACGCGGGGCGCTCCGCAGGGACCCCCGCCCCCGCGGCCTGACCCCTCCGCCCCGCCAGGTGAGGCCAGCTCTCAGGACATGGCGGCGCAGGTGACCAGCCCGTCCGGCAAGACGGAGGCGGCGGAGATCGTGGAGGGGGAGGACAGCGCCTACAGCGTCCGCTTTGTGCCCCAGGAGATGGGGCCCCACACGGTCACCGTCAAGTACCGCGGCCAGCACGTGCCCGGAAGCCCCTTCCAGTTCACCGTGGGTCCGCTGGGGGAAGGCGGCGCCCACAAGGTGCGGGCCGGAGGCACGGGGCTGGAGCGAGGTGTGGCCGGTGTGCCAGGTAAGGGGCGGGAGCAGGGGCGGCCGGGGTGAGGGGTGGCTGGGGGCTGGGGTAGCCGGGGTGAGGGGCAGCCGGG